ACTCCCTGTTGTCAGATTTTATAAAACAAATGGGGGAGGAAAAGATAAAAATCACCCGGGAGTTCCTTTTTTCATAAGTTTGATCGCTTATTATCTGTGGTACACCAACATCTAACCCTCATCTCTGTGAAAGAAAGTGAAGACCCCAGAGGTTTCAGCTCATTGCCATGGCCTCTGGGCCACGTTTGGCCAAAGTACCTGCACGCTGAGACCTGTTAAGTTAGTATTTTGATAAAACTGCCATGTTCCCTTCGGCACTGTCTTATCAAATCATGCACATTTCAGTCATTTAGTCATGAGTGCCTTGCAAACCTATGAAACAATAGGTCTTGGCCCCAAATCTGCAATACAAAGTATGTGAATTTTGGATAAAATCAATCGCATAAAATGAGCAGCCTGAGTGAGTCAGAGGTAGAAGGGCAGTGCATTACGTGAGGAATCCATTTTATCCCCGTTGGATTTTCTCATCTTTTTCACTTTGCCTGTATTTGAGGAGGTACAATGAGAAAACAGTAGACAGCACTCACTTGTTCTCATCTGTCTTAAGGAGACTGGGCATCCAAGTTATTTATTTGTTTCAATGACAGTTACATTAATGAATCCCTGTAACATGCATCAATGTTTTGCAAAGTACCATGTCGCGAAATCGATCAATGTAGAGCAGTGAGACAAACCACGGAGGCCCCAGAAAAGTGCAATCAAACGATGAGTTTATTAACACACAGGAGAAAACATCAGCATATCTCCTCCACATGTTGTGGACACTTATAAAGCAGTGGGGTACACGCCCCAATTCCAGATTAAAATAGGGTCCAGACATTAGTCACAATTAATGGTACATCTTGTACATCTTTAATGGCTATAAACAGACAAAGAACTTCTCTTTTCTATAACACCTTCCATACAGGGTAATAAACTTCAAGCCCTCAGGGTCTCTGGGGCTAATTATTGACTCTGGTCATCTGTTGCCAAGTAGAGTAAAATATAGTAAGACACCAAATGAGTTAAGGCCTCAGGCCTGACACATTCCTAGATTATATGTGTTATATGTATTGTAAGCATGCATTGCAGTTATCCTTCTATGTTCTAGTTTCCCTCAGCATGTATCACCTGGACAGGCACGCCAGTGAAGCTTAAGACCCTTAATAAACCGAACATCAACTCGAAATAAGCACAAATATGCAATGTGTATGAAATACTTATAACCGTACTTGTAATAAAAGTTAACATAATGGAACGATCCTCAAATGGACATCTTCAATAGACAACTTTAATGCAATATCAATACTGTGAGAAATATTACGAGATGAAATAATGCTGTAAAGAATGTTATTAATACAATTATAATGATGCAGATTATATGGCAGCAATAAAAAAAATCTGTATCTCCACAACCACTGAATTATTTTGCACAAGCATCTGGCTGCTCTTAAAAAATGTAAAACTAACTGGACAAACAAGGACAAGTGCAATAAAAAAAATATGGAAGAAATAATAGAATGCAGATAATATACTCATCAGTAGTTGCACACATATGTTAGTTGGATACAATGTTCAATATTTCTACAAAAAACAAAAACTCACATATAGGTACATAAGAAATTTAAGATGCTGCGAGGCTTTTCTTCTCTGGCAGCCTTCAGCCTGTGAGCACGTTTGTGTTCATTTGGGTGTCTGTCCTCACTGGGAACAGCAGCGTGAGCGTGTGGTGAGGGAGCGTGCAAACCAAGCATCGCAGGAACTACATCACAATACATGTAATGTATTTTCACAATGTACCTGCATTTCTTTTTATAGCAGGGAGTTATTGCATAACTTTAATAGAATGGCTTACTGACTTTGATGCACATTCTTGCAAAAACTATACTCACTGGAGCAAGATATCTGCAAGGTGCCATTAAGCCTTGATTTACTGTTGATGGCAGATCATGTTTTACTCTGTCTGCCAACTCTCCCATTGTGACAACAGTATATTTGTTTCCACGGGCTTTAAATTTGTAACCCCACCGCTACTTCTGGATGGGTATAATTTTGTTATATCTATCTTTTTTGTTTACACACTTTGAGCAGTTTTTTTTTTAAATAATTCGCAGTTTTGCTGCAAGAAACATGGCAGCAAAGTCTTCTGCTACAGCTGTTTGAAAGCTGCTCTTTTTCATTCTGCCTGTATATTAGTGCCATTAGCATTTTATCAATGACACATTGCGATAAAAGGTCAGCTTTTGTGTGAAAATCAATCACCCTTTAACTTCCCTCTTGAAGCTGCCATCATCTCCCCGTGTGATTGATAATTTGGGTTAAAGAGGTCAGTATTCAAAAAATTCATCTAGTTTGTGCATCAACAAAAAGTAAAACCAAAGACCAACAAAAGCATTCAGCAGCCTGTAATCTGCCTGACACACGTTTCAGTCTGAGGTAAGGCAGGTCACGTTTAAACAGCAGGGACCAGAGGTGTAATCAAAATAAGGAGAAATCAAATGCCAAGTAGACTTACTAATGCATTTATTAAATCTGCAATGGTCACCAATTAGTCACCTTTTTCCTTTCACTTTTCTACATCACTGTGTTCCTGCCTCTTTTTCCAACTGTCACTTTCATTTATTTTTCATTTCACTTATTATTACTGCCCCTTAGGTTGCTCGGTAGTAAATGCCAAAGAAATTACGTAGCCAAACCTTAATAAAAAAAAATGACTGCACACACCTTAAGACATGCAACTGGGTGGGCACACATGCAGGCACATAAACTGTGGGTTTGTGTGAAACGCATTATTTTTCATGAGAGAGCCAATTTGGGAGCACAGGGCTCGACTGTCCCAAGCCCTTGGTTAATAGCTACAATGGCATTGTGTGCTATTGACTGCAGTATGACAGAGCATGGTGAAGTGATTACAGAGCAATAGAAAAAAAACCCCCAGCTGGTTAGCCTGAGAAATGAAAAGGTCCAGCAGCTACAAGCCTCTATGATTATAGAGCATCCCTGATGCTGTGGCCAAGCACAGAATGAAAGCTCTGATCTAAAACCAGCGGAAGACACTAAAACAGATGTAGTGAAAACACAGAGAAACTTTGAGTCATGCAAACTAGTTTTTGCAACACCACCACAGCACACTGACAGCATGTCTGCACATAGGTACCCTCACATTTTCTCTTTGTGCTGATTTTTCCTTTACTCCCTCACATACGTATTTACAAATTACTGCCAGATTTCTTAGATTTCGTTGTTGGGTTTTATTTTAAGATCACAGTTTTTCTCTCCAGGCATGACATAATTAGCAGATGTTAGTAGTAGATGATTCATTCAGTAGCCCATCCCTGTAGCTCGTGCGCTGCAGATCTCCCATTCTTGTAAAGAATCTCGTAAAAGAAAAATTACAGCTTTTTATTTCTGGTTTTCCTAATCCATATGGAAATGCCCTATAAAGACATAATATAATATAATGTATATACTGTAAATAGGTGTCTTATGAGGGGCTCATTAACTAACACTTATTACAGGGAGTAAATTAAATTAAAAAGCAACATTTTTTTCTCTTGTTTTTCTTGTTTGTTTGTTTACACACAGGCTAACTGGAATGAATATTCCAGCACCCATCATTAGCAACAAAAACTGGTTACGACTGCATTTTGTGACGGAGAGCAACCACCGCCACAAAGGCTTCAGGGCTCAGTATCAAGGTAAGACATGATTGCTTCATTTGCACATCGTAATAGAGGGCCCCCTACATGAACAAAAGGGTTCATCGTAGGAAAAACACACTGTAATTACAAAACATGTTTTTGATCTTTGTTAACTGAATATCAAACACTTTGATTAATATTCTCTGTAGAGGGCATGAAGGCTTTTTCTGCTTTAAATCAATGACTTCAAAGCGCCTTGATAATCAAATATTTGAGAGATAAATACTGTATATATATTCTCACCCTCGCAAAACTACAGCTCAATAGTCTCTTACACTCTCATTGTTTTATAGCCTGACTTTAAGTCAGTGTATGTGCTGCATGGACTACTTGCTGCATATACTTAACCTCGAAGTGTAAAACAGATTTGAAATCTGCTTGTTCAATATAAAGCTCTATACAAACATTGAATAACATGCATGTGGCAAATCGTTGTAGATGTAAGACAAGCATTCATTCAGGTGCATGAAAAGTCACCTTTGTCCTCTCCTTTTAATTACTATGTAGTGGTCAAGCAGTTTTTATGAGTTTTCATATGAACATAGATATTTTAAAACAGACAAACACTTAGAGGTTTTATTGAGCAGTGTGCTTTTAAGCATGTATCAGCTCTCATCGAATCAGCAAATAAATTCACTTCCTTTCTTTTGTACTTGTGTGGAAAGAACCAGCTGACCTAGAGTGCAATTCAGAGGAGAGGCATTGTTCCAGTACTTTCAAATTCAAATAGCCTTGTTTTTGCTTGTTTTTTGCTTGATACATCATTTTACCGCTCATGGCTGTTCTGTTAATGATGACAGCCACTTGCATCACCTGGCTTTTGTTTGCAATCTGGCCCCTGCTGTGTTTAATTAGACTTTCTTTAAATAAGTAGCATTGCAGTCCTGGGGCGGCTTTTTGATTCTGCATGGTGTGTGTGTGTGTCCCCACTACATGCTATAACCATTAAATCCGCTCTGACCAATCAATTTCCATCCACTGTTTAAAATGTGTGAGCTATATCAACAGGCAAACATAATAAACAAATAAATATATAATCTAGGTTTGATTGAATTGCCAGGGCAACCCTTTAGATTGCATCATACCCTTCGGACTAATGTCTTTTGATAAGATGATGCTGAGCAAAAGCAATTACAGTTTGATGTTCTTCATAGGACCAAGTATTATCCAGAGAAAGAAACACTTGTACTGTATCTTCTCACATCTAATACTGTAACTTCTTTTATCTAATGAACTCTTTCTATTGCTCTCGACCAGTGAAAAGCTCTGGAGAGCTTAAATCCAGAGGGGTAAAATTATTACCAGGAAAGGACAACACTAACAAACTGTCTTTGAGTAAGTCTTTTATTTTTCTTACGCAACTGTTTTCATTGTTTGGATTTTTTGTTTATGGAGGGCTTGTGTTCTGGGTCTTTGTTTTCTTTCTGTCGCTTCCCCCCCCCTTTTTTTTTTTTGCTGCCTCATTCGATGAAGGAATTAAGCTACAGTACTAGATTTTGCAGAAGTGCAGTCTCTTTTTCTTTCTGATGACCTATTTCCCCTGCTGCCCAGGACTTCCTTCCCTGCCAGAAACTTACTGAGCTAGATCAGCCCTAGTTAGGTATATTGCAGCAAACCACTAAACATGATCAGCTTCTGTCAGACAAAACTCCATCTGTCTCATTCTATTCTATGTAAGCTACACATTACACAGACTTAAGCCCATGCACTATGTGATCTACACACATAGCGGTAGTCAAGGTTGAGTGACCACTCAATTGTCAGATGATTTGTGTACACTTAGAGCGAAGTAAATGCATTCTAATTGCTTGCGGAGCTCTGTCATTAACATAAATCTGGAGCAGAATTCCCTCTAACGCAACAGTGTGCTAAACACTCAGATGATAACAGGTTGCAATCTTTATTACCTTATGTGTCATAGATTCTGCACTGCATGGAGACATGAATAATGCAGTGAGCTCAAGTCTTTTCTATGAGACAATACTGTATATCATTTCAGAGACTGCGAGGAGAATGCGCCGTACTGTATGCCTTGTGGATTTACGCCGTATAATTGAACTCATAACAACATTATAACCTGTGGCGATTAAGTTCAAAAACGAATGAACTTCCTCAAAGCAAGCAACATGCCATTAGAGCACCGCACGCTAAAACTGAAGGGTCTCTGTGTGTGTTTGGGGTGATGTCTTGTTGCAAACATTGCAGCACACCTCAGTGATAATTATGCAGCTACATATTCCATGAGTTTAATTTCCAGTGCATGCAGACATTGATGTACGGATCATAATGTAAGGGGAACGTGAGCTTGTTAAGTCAGAACACACAAGCTGTTTTCTTGCCTCTAAATCGCCTCTCTGCATTCTTTCCATGGTAAAGGCAATATTCAATATAAGCCATATCTCCAAGGCTTTATCTAGTCTACGCAAATTATTATTATGTATGGAGAGTCTGACTGAGTGATTATTGTTGCTCCTGCAAGCGATAGTTGAAGGTTATTTAATCCTCTTAGTGCCTGTTGGACCCAGATAGATTTTCCTCTATTTTGTTTAGCTCAGGTAAGAGTGCTGCGTTTACCCTTGCCACTCACTGTAATATCACAAAACACAACAGCACTGCAAAAAAGCTATCAGTTAAAAGTCTCTGACATTTCGAGATGAGGTCAAACCGTCACGTGTCAGAACTTTATGATTCGTGAAAGCAAAAACCGTTGAACATGCAGGGTTATCGGCTATTCAGGTGCTTGCTGTTGCAGTGGGTGTTTTCTGAAAACACTGGGCGTTAGCAATTCAAGTGTCTCTCTCACAGTGTTCTTGGTCCCTGTCTTCTCTGCTTAGTGAATGAAGGAGGAATCAAACAGGTGTCTAATTACTGCCCTGACCCAGGGGAGCCGGAAAACGGCAAACGGATAGGCTCCGATTTCAGGTGAGTTGTTGTTTCGCAGCTTGAGTGAAGGATACGTAGCGTATGTGCAGATGTGTGCTGAGGGATATTGAAATGAGTGCTCCGCTTTCAGTATTATAACTTGCGCCACATGACTGCATGTCATGAGTTTTTACTGTCACAATCTATTAAGTCAGCAACAGGTGTGCACATAAACTAGTGTTAACCAGTTTATTCTCCACCTGCTGCAGATTTCAAACATTCTTTGTTTTATTTACTGTCATTCTCAGTCTGTTGGCTATAATCTTCTTGTTAATATTCTGCATTTTCATTTGTCTCAGTGCCCATTTAGCAAGCATAGGAAAAAGATAACAGGGAAAATAATATGATCAACTTTCAGTCTCTTTGTTCTGTTATGTGGCATGGTTTGATTTTTTTTTCCAATCTTATGCTGTTATGTGTACATAGGGAAGCCCAGTGTAGTCACCTGTGACAGTACGAGTCCATTGTCATTGCCTCGCTTTACCGCAGCATATACTCGTTTCTTTGTAAATGAATGACCTGAAACAAATAATGAATTTGATATTTCATCAGGAGTCATTTTTGAGGAATTGATTGCTTTTTTTCGGGCGTTAATGGTGTTTGCTATCTTCTCAGCATCGGAGCAACTGCTCAATTTACCTGCGATGAAGACCATGTGCTGCAGGGTTCCAAAACGATTACCTGCCAGCGCGTTGCCGAAGTCTTCGCTGCTTGGAGCGACCACAGACCCGTCTGCAAGGGTGAGCGGGGCTTCCGATGAGCTAATAAAACTGTTTGATTAAGGCGGTGCCTCTGGATATATGCTCCATGCAGATAGAGGAAAGTTCATTGCTGTTAATTATGTATGAAAGCCTCTTCTGCTACACTCTGCTTTTCCATTTCAAAATGCCCTCACTGTTTTTCTGTGTTTCATAATACCTGGAGCACCTTTTAGAATTTGATTAATGGAAATGTGACTAATAGACCTCCTCTCTACTTGTGCAAACAATATATTACCTTTCAGTCACATTACAATGCACGAGTTATTACTCTGCCTTCTGAGCGCCATTTTCATCAATATTTATTGCGAAGTTGAAATTAATTTTTATGGGTCATTTAGTGATGTTTATGCTGTGTGTCCAGCACAGATCTTTATATCTTTTCTATATACACAGACAAGTATAAAATGATAAATATGTAAAAATGCCGTTTGGCCTGAATTTCTGGTCACTGAAAGTACAATGAAAATGTTTGGGTTGACCTTTTTGCCTTTAAAGCTGCACCAATTCTCCAAGGTACACTTACTGAGAGATTTTAAATCAGCTTTCCAGATTGGAGAACTTTATGAACTTGAAAAGTTTGAGCTGTCTCAGTTAAGATCAGGGCTCAGTGGGGATCACACACTGTGCTGGAGGACTCCTTTTTCTTCATGTTTCTCACGATGGTTCTTTATTGCTGGTGTACGTTGGGGGTTATTATGTCACGTCATACTGCAGAACGCACTTAAGACAAGTCAGTGATAATAGCAAAACATTTAAAGTGCCAAAAAAGTTGCACAGGCTGTATATCTTCTCTGCTTTGATATTCCTCTTATACTGTTGCAGTGAAAACCTGCGGGTCGAATCTACAGGGACCGTCGGGGACGTTTACATCCCCTAACTTTCCTATCCAATATGAGAGTAACTCACAGTGTGTGTGGATCATCACTGCCAGTGATCCGAACAAGGTAGGAGAACTTGTACACTGTCCATTAAACATCCACCACTACTGTTACAATGGTAACCGTAGCAGTTGATGTTTGAGGTGAGGATTCAGTAGTGACAAGCCTTGTTATCTTGGTTTTTTTCCGCATTTTTTTTGTGTTAATTAAATAGCAGTAAATTCTGATAGAGTAAATCCCAAAAACTATGCATTCATATTCACTTTTCTCTGCTCACCTCCGCATTGGAACAAAGCAGTTACTTCCAAAATATAAATGCAGTATACAAAAGGTCAAGATTAGAAGCCCAGTGAGGCTCATGATTGCAATAATAAGAGTAAAGGTTTTGTGTAGTGCCAACCTGCAATTCCATTAAGGTAATAAATAGTAGACCAACACTTGTAAAATTTACCTCTGAGTAATCTCTTTGCACTGCACCTCCCTCATTAGTTTTATTTTTTTAAAAAACCACATTATTTTGCTGCTCCTGAGCACCATCACATTTGTACTGTGAAAATAGTTCCTTCCCTGTAGAGCATTTGTCGACATATTTCCTTGAAATTTTTGGATCTGTGTTTTATATGCGTCTGTTTTTTTCCAGGGTTACCCAAGTTAGGAGGGGCTACATAGAATATGCATATATTTCCATTTTTTACTTTCTGTCATTAATGCACATTGCAGGAGTGGATGGCATTTCGGTTCTCACTAGATTACCAGCTTGACTGTGGCTGTCGGCAGCCTAGCGATTTGCTTCATTCATCTGTGGTCACGGAAATGGGGAGAAATGATGATTGATTGAGACCAGCTTTTCCCCCAAAGTGAAGAGGTCAAAGCTGTTTTCCAAATGGTCATTACTGCTCTCCTACATAAATTTGTCTTTCTATTGGTATTCTATCCAGTGAGCCATATACACAGGGGTATCAACTAAGTACTTTCCTGCTAATAAATAATAACTCACCAACTGATGCTCATTCAGAACTCACTAGGACTGGCAAGTGCCGCAGCTTTGTGCCACTGTGCACTCTCCTAGGCAAACAAGCCATCGACTTGGCACTGAAACTTGGTCCATTAGTGTTATTATGGTAATTATGCTTATTTGCGTGTCGTAATGAGGCTGTTATACATACATATTGTGCAGACGCTGCCCAAACCATGGCCAAAAGAATGAAGGCTATGGATGAGCAAGCGGCCATCATATGGTTGTCATCAACAGATGTGACACTGGTGTCATTACGGCATCCTTCCTTTCATCACTAATCCGTGCAGGCAAAGTGCAGGCTGAGATAATGTGGCATGTTTGTGTAATGCCTCTGCAGCAGACATGATTATTAGTGTAAGCAGCTGTTGCCAGTTTGATCTTTAAAAATGTCATCTTTTGTGACGCTATGTACATTTGTTAAGGGGGTAAAAAGATTCACCAGTGACAGTCGACAAAGATATCTCAAGGGTAAATGCAGACAGGCAATTAATAACTTCATATGCTTAAGTTTGCTTTACTCTGATTGGTTCTTAAAATTCGATTTGTGTTCTGCAGTAATGCTGCTGTCAGTTTCTATATTGCTTTGAAGGATGCTTGCGGTGTCCTTTGTCTATGCTGCACATCCCCATTAACATTCACTCTATAAGCCTTTTCCTATAAAGAGTCAAAAATCTGATATGAGTTGTGTTTTATATTTTCCCTCTATTCCCCCGAACGCCACTGTTGATTTAAGTTTTCGGGTAGTTTGTGGATATTTGATTAAAGTACCAGAATATATTGTATGTTATAGCAGCTATGTGAATTATGAAAATAGAAGGAAGCGTCTTCGGCTTTTATAGCTCTGCTTGATCAAACATTGAGCTGTCCTCCTGTGCAATTGTATATGACATTACATGGAGTTTCTCTGTGTAGGCCTGCCTTTTGCAGTTTAGCTACAATATCTTCAGCAACATTTTCCCAAAAGGCAAGTTATGGAAATGAGCAGCTATGTTATGAATATCATAAAAATTAGATGGTGGGTTATTTGGTAATAAATCTTTAGAATAACTGCTCATCTGATTGAGAGGGTTTGGCCTATTTAAATGAACGCAATGAATAACATTGACTGGCGGGGTTAGCAATGTCTGTCAGGAGACCTCTCTGTTTGAATCACTTTAGCGTAAACAGCTTCCACAGGCAAATGGCGACTTTCAGCTTCATGGTTTTGTTGAAATGTATTGAAAAATAAAAAAAAACTGCTGACAGACACATTGACTTCTCAGCAAATGTACATAAACTATCTGCAATATACCACGCTGGCTTACTTTATATATATCATTCAGTAGAGTGTTCTCAAATGTTATTGAATGGTGTAAGGAGGGCTTTGCTGTTTGCAAATTCACAGCCAATCATAGACTGTCATAGTGACTTTGTATTTTACAACAGGTTATTCAGATCAACTTTGAAGAATTCGACCTAGAAATTGGGTATGACTCCCTAACTATTGGAGATGGAGGGGAAGTAGGGGACTCTAAAACGATCATTCAAGTGTAAGTATTTCATAAACTACTTCATTGGATAGATTATTTTAGCATAATATTGCAGTCAAATCTTTCCAAATCTTTTTGTGAGTCGACATTAAAAGAAATACTTGAACAAAAGAATCCTTGAAACAGTTAAATGACTACACCACTACAAGTGTGGCTTACTTGTTCAAGTTACTTGTGTTTTTTATCTGCGTATAACAATGTTTGTCTTCTAATCTGCTTAACGTGTAATGAAATCTCTCAATAGTGAATTTTGATCCCACACCGGCTTGTTTGTCTTATCTGCAGGCTCACTGGGAGCTTTGTCCCAGACCTAATTGTCAGCATGTCCCATCAGATGTGGCTTCACCTCCAGTCTGATGAGAGTGTTGGCTCAATTGGATTCAAGATCAACTACAAAGGTACACACACACTATTGTGCTGATGCCATCTCTCACTGTCTGTATTCATGTCTGTCTCTGACTGTGTCTCACTAAAGCAACAATTTTATTTTCCTGTCTGCCTTCCTGCCGATCTGTCACTCTTTTATCTTTCTACTTCTTAAAAAAAACTTTCTTAACCTAACTTCCCCACTCTTCAACTGCACCTATACAGATAATCTTAAAGAAAAAAAAAAAACTATCTCAGACTACTTTCCTTGATGTAATCCTCTGCTCTCCCCCTCCCATTTCCACTCTCTTTCTCACTTACTTCATCTGTTCGTCCCCCTCTTTTCTCTTCTCCACAGAAATTGACAAAGAGAGTTGTGGCGACCCCGGTACACCTCTGTATGGCTATCAAGAGGGAACTGGTTTTTTAAATGGAGATGTTTTACGCTTTGAATGCCAATTTGGATTTGAGCTCATTGGGGAAAGGATGATAACCTGCCAGAACAACAATCAGTGGTCAGCTAATATCCCCATCTGCATATGTGAGTCCCATACTTGTTTTTAATGACAGCAGATAAGCAATTACTTATGTGCTTGGAAGGTTCACAATGACACTGAGCTATTTGAGAAATAATTACAGAGTTGTTAACTGAACATGCAGAGCAGTGCACACAGCACATTGTGTGAAATGGGAAGTTTTTGTTCAAGCTTGCTTTTTTGGGTGGTTGTTGTTGTTGTTGTTGTTGTACTATTTAACTGAACTGGAGAAGGTAACATGCACTCTACTGTTTATCATCCTTTGTCAAGGCATCCCTCTCCTTGTAGTTACAACATTCCTAACCTATTTCCATAACAAAAAACTAGACTTGTGTTCCTTCGATTTAACTGCCTCCTTTGGGACAGTGTGCAGTATTCCTATGCACCTATATTCATATATGTCTGTACTTTTGTACAGTTCTCTGCTCCGTCCTGCTTACAGTTTCATGTTTCTCAAGCTACTCAGCGCCCTTGGGAGTAAACTTGTCTCCAGTTTGCTGAGCTACTTATACAGTACTGACATTGTTCTGTAGAGATCTTTGTGCCTGGTCCTGTTATGGCAGATTCTGCAGTGTAGACATGTCGTGTGGCCAGTGAGAGTTGCTGTAAAACAAATTGCTTACTCGGGATATATAACTGATGTTTTTGCCCTCTCTGTCACACAGTTCCCTGTTTCTCTAACTTCACTGCGCCCATGGGGACGGTGTTGTCTCCAGACTATCCAGAAGGCTACGGGAACAACCTTAACTGTGTTTGGCTGATTATCTCTGAGCCTGGCTCCAGGATCCATTTGGCCTTCAATGACTTTGATTTGGAGCCTCCTTACGACTTTCTTACTATCAAAGATGGGGATCAGTCAGGAGCCACAATACTGGGACGCTTCTCGGGGGCTGAAGTTCCTTCCCATCTGACATCCAATAGCAACGTTTTGCAGCTCGAGTTTCAGGCCGATCACTCGATGTCTGGACGAGGGTTCAACATTACCTATAGCAGTAAGTGGCTGATCAATGGGTAAATGAAACTAAAAGAAAGAGAAATGCATTCACCCTCTACCTTTCATGGTTAGGGATTTTTTTGGTGGTGTCTCAGGTCTGTCTGACCTGTTAAATTGGTACAATTTTTAGACGCAGTTAACCAAACAAAAAATAATTACTAAGCGTACTGTGCAAATTAATTGTATTAATAGAAGAGGAATGAAGTTCAGCAGCACCTGTAGTTTATATGAATGAGCGTGTTGTCGTCCTTGTTGCTCTTTTAGAAAATAATGTTTTTTTCCTGATAATAATGGTTTCTTTCTTGGCAGGCATCTTTTATAACACACGAGGACACATTACAATTCATTGAAGCAATGGACAACAAATATTTTTTAAAAAAGGTTAATAAAACCGCTGGCAGATTACAGCTGAGTTTTAATAAGTGTAACCCTAGCACAGCTTTTCCAGTCAAGATTTGAGCAGAAAAGCTGCAGCATAAGTTAGGCCAATGGTACCTTTATAAACAAAAAGCACCATTTAGTACTGTGGAGGTAGTGTTTAACTCAGTTGCCTTATTGCCTATGCAGTGCCGTTGTAATTCTTTTGCTTTTCCTCCGGTGCAATTCACAACAAGCTTTAAAGACAGAGGCTATTGTCAACCCTACGTGTATAGAGCAGACCTTTGTATGTTCTTTTTTCCTCTCTTACGGACAGCTACATCCATTTCCCTTATCTCTCTACTACTCAAAGACCCAATTTCTCATTCACACAAGAGCATTTGTCACTAGATCTTGTTCCCTTTCTTCTCATTACAAGCCTTTGGGCATAATGAGTGCCCTGACCCTGGCATACCGTTGAACGCTAGGCGCTTTGGGGACAGTTTCCAGCTGGGGAGCTCCATCTCTGTTGTATGCGAGGATGGCTTTATCAAGACACAGGGAGCTGACACCATCACATGCCATCTGGAAGAAGGCAAGGTGATGTGGAGTGGACTCATTCCCAAATGTGAAGGTAATTAAATTGTAATTGCTAACAATTATGTGAATGAGTATAAGTTAACTGCTGAACTGGGATGAAAAAGAAAGAACAGAAACATGATACAAAAAAAGTGAGTGGGTTAGTGTGGAACACGGAGTTCAGTCCATCTAAACCAGGCTAGATTTATTTTCAGGTATCTGTAACTCCAGGCCTTTGGTGACTCATCCTATAAGTGTTTTCTTTCAATATTTTTCATGTGGGTATGAACAGATACCGAGAGGTATCATCTTTAAAACAACTTTTTTCTCTTTTCTACCTCTCTCCTCTCCTCTCCTCTCCTCTCCTCTCCTCTCCTGCTTTCTTTGTCTTCTTTATGCCCCCTTAAATTTCCTTCCACTGCTCCAGCTCCTTGTGGAGGACACTACTCAGGGCCATCTGGTGTCATCCTCTCCCCCGGGTGGCCAGGCTACTACAAAGATTCCTTGAGTTGTGAGTGGGTCATTGAGGCCGAGCCGGGACGCTCCATCAAGATTAGCTTTGACAGGTCTGTATGACAGTACTGCAACAAGTCAGCCACTGAAACAAAGACACACTCACGTGTAGAATGACAAAATCTGGAAAAGGACTTAATTCTTGGTGTAATATAATCACATATTGTGCTGCAGTAGTCGTATACCTACATGCAGACCGACACTCATGTATATATCCCTTTAGTTTATGCATATACAGGACATGTACACAAACATAAATGGCTCCCCTTGGCTGTGGAAGCCTCTGAGTTTGAAATAGAAAGTCAGAGGAGGAAGAACACAGACTTTGGTCTAGTTTCCAAAAATGCTGAAAGCCTCAAGTAATCCTTTATCTTGCTTACCCGCTTTGCTCACTTCCTGAGAGAGCTTCAATAAAAGAAAGTGGGGAAAAAAGGAAAGGGAAAATCTTGCTTTGAAATCTTTATTTCTTAATATTAATAAGTGAAATCATGAAATCCATTCATTCGTTCATGTTGTATAATTGTTGCTTTTTCAAAGGGCTGCCTTTACTGTGACTTTTTTTGTTTTTGTTTTATTATTTATAAAATTAACCCTCTTTTCCTCTTCCCTCATTTAAAATGAGCACAGGGTTTCTCATGCCTGTTTAAAGCATTACACCTATGATGGCACTATACTCGAGGCAAGCTTCACAGTTTCTTGTATCAGTGAGATAAGAATGCATAAATTTCAGTCTGGAAACGTCAATAATATTGACAGATATATCTGTGTTGATCCCAGTTGTTTGATGGGGGGGGG